CTCTCTCTCTCTCTCTCTCTCTCTCTCTCTCTCTCTCTCTCTCTCTCTCTCTCTCTCTCTCTCTCAATAACAGTGCCACGACACAGCTGTAGATTCGCACAGCGCCCTCAGTCCCATATATGCGGCTCAAATTCAGCACGCCGTGTAGCTGGACCACTTCCAGAAAATTGTACATACACATTCAGGTGGCTTCTCGAATTCGGCAGGGTGCGTATCTGGATGGCTTTGAGAAAGTCTTTGATAGGAAATAGTCAAGAAGAGAGACCGTGCGGCGGTGGACTGTTTTGTGGCCCAAATACATGCACCGGTTCGAGAACGTCACAAAAAAAGGGCAGAGAACAAGAAAAAAGACGGCCGTGACCGTTTTGCGGTCCAGATAAACGCCTTCCTCACAAAAAAAAAAAAAAAAAAGTTTGGACCGCCTCGTGGGAATCTGGCCCACTTCGAGAAGATACGCGCTGTGGGGAGAAAAAAAAAAAACACCAAAAAAGTGTGGAAATCTGCCACCCAAAACAGGGCTCGGGGTCCGACGGTCCACGCTGCCCCGGTGCCACTTGCGATTCCGGTTTCTACTGGCTGCAGGGGGAGGTGTGTTACGAGAGGACAGAATTTACTTTTGGAAGAACTAGGGAAATCAATAAGGAATTAGAGGGGACCCTCAGCCAAAAGTTATTTGTATTGCAATTTTACACAACATTTTGTTTTTCAGATTGTTTTTGAATTCGTTTTTTTATGCGCTGGGGCTGCCCAGAACCTGCCCGGACCCTGCCCGCCCCAGGCCACCTGGGAGGGTACCCAGGCGACCTTCCCCCAGCCGCACCGCCTGGGAACCAGCATACATTTTCCATTTTTTATTTTGCCACGAATTCTGATGTGACTCTGAGGCAAAAATTGTTCAGTTTCTTTTTCTGCATAACATAGTTTTTTTCCGGATTTTGGGGAATTTTTTTTTTTTTTTGCAGGCACCTTCGTTGGCCCGCACCGCCCGGGAACCAGCATAGATTTTTCATTTATTATTTTGCCAAGAATTCTGATGTGTGAGTACTGTGTCCTCAGGGGGCCCTAGGCAACATGCATACTTTCCGGAATGTGCCCCCCCCCCCCCAGCGAGCCTCGTGCCCGCCTAAGTGAAGATGGGCCTGAATATTCACGAGAGGCCCTTATCTCAGCATTTTCCAATACGGGTCTCAGACAGTTGCTGCGCGACAGTTGGTTGAAGTACAACCTGAGCCTTACCCTGGGCTCTTCCAGAGGAAGCAACTGCGCCAGGCAGTTGAGCCCAGGGCCCGGGTGGTTGTGCCCTGGGCACACACATTTTGAGGCCGACACATCACGAAGTGGCCACGGGCCAACGAGAAAGCAGCATTGTCGTCGTATCTACCCCGTGGGCCAGTGCAAATGCAGCAAACAGTCGGAGCCTGGAAATTTCTGGGTTTGCCCAACTGAAAAGGGCCCAGGCCCTTAAATGGGCCTAGGCGCAGACACTGGGGCCCGGCCAGAAGCTACTGGAAACTTCCACGGCCAGGCCCAGGGAGTCCAGCAGCAGCAGTGACTTCCATATAGGAAGCCAGCGAGCCAGGAAAGGAAATTCTGGCCTAGGCAGGCAATGCGGACACGCTGCTGCACTCGCAAGCGTCTGCATGCGCATTGCTGACCAGGGCGCGCGCGGGCGCTGAGAGGTGAGGGGCGCTAGCGGCCATAGCCGGGCTGCAGGGCGCGAGGGCAGAGAAGTGCGACAGGGGGTCTTCGGGAGGAGGCGCAGAAGTGGGTGGTCAGGGGGTGATGAGGGGAGACAAGAGTACGTACCTGGTGTATGTGGGAGGTCGGCATTGGTGTTGACATCATGTACATTGGTCTTCAAAGTCGAAGTGAGCCTGTTGCATGAACGTAAGTAGGCTAGGTAGACAAGTAGAGTAGGCTGGGCACTGGGCGCCAGACAGAGAGGAGAGACATTGAATACTGCGTTGGTGGTGGCCTGAGGGCTTGAACATTGGCTCACGAGTTCATTGTATTGCTCTTATTTGGATGGAATCTTGGTGCTTTTGAGCTCTCTGGTTGTTACATGACTATCTGGACTTCTGCGTGATTTTGCAACTTGTTTTTTTTTTTCTTTGTTTGTTTTTTGCAACTTGGTTTTCTGTATATCGCTCTTGCTCATATTCCTTGCAGATGTGACTCTGAGGCAAAAATTGTTCAGTTTCTTTTTCTGCATAACATAGTTTTTTTTCCGAATTTTTGCAGGCACCTTCCCTGGCCCTTGCCCGGCCAGGCACCCTGGGCAACCAAGGTGAGTGTGGCAGCCCATTTGTTAGCCCAGGTTTAATGAAAATTAGGCCGGGGACTGCAGTTGACGAGGAAGAGACGAGGTGGTGAGACAAGTCTATGTTACTCTAGAGTCTACACATGTTTTCCACTTCTCCTCTCGCTCCTCTTTCTCTTCTCCTCATTCGCTGCCCTTTTTCTTCACCTTTTGATGCAATGTTGTCGCAATTCATGAACTTTCGACAACAAAACTTTGAGGCTCATAGCAGTATGAAGCAAAAGATGGCAAAGAAGATACTCAAGGGAGGTAAATAGTAAAGAGGGCAGAGAGGGGTGGCCGAAGGCACTGCAGCAAATGTAGCGAGAGGGGTAGATGACAGGATAGGGACAGAGCTACTGGTAGGGAAGAGGTGCTTCAACCAATCGACGACACGAAAAGTCAACCATAAGGACAGATTAGACAGGATGGTGTAGGAGGCGGTATTGACAAGATCAGAGGAGGTAAACTGGGATAATGAAGAAGAAAGTAGTGGCAATGTCGATTGCAGTGGAGGCCTTGCAGAAAGAGCCGGAGCTGTCCGTTCAAATGAAATCTCAGCTCATGAAACCGGCGGCATTTGCTTCACTGATGAAACAAAGGGACCAAGAGGAGATGGCCACAAAGGCAAAGAATGAACAAGGCAGCCCAGTGGAGAAGCATACATCAAAACCACTGAGTCGGATAGCATCTTCTACAAGTTCAGAAGAAACAGGTCGGTGAGGATGGACAGACATAGCAGGTCCAGCGCCTATTGTGGGTTGCTATACTTTTTTCTAGATAGATGCACCTACGTTTCTGGATGTGACTATGAAAGAGAGGTGTGGTGATAGGGAGGGAGTGCGAGAGAGTGGGTGCGAAAGAGGGCATGTGAGAGAACAGGTGAACGACAGAACGTAGGAGGGGGGGTGGCAGAAGCGGGGGTAACAGAAATGGAATGACAGAGGGGGAGGGAGGGAAAGCAGGGGGAAAGAAAAGGGGCTGAGAGAGAGGGCATGGAAGAGATTCCCCCCTGCCTGGTCATCTACATCGAATCCCCACCTGAAGGCTTCGCCTTTGTCCTGACCTAACTTGTCCAACCATCCAAAGTCGCAGTTCCATAAGCGGGAGCATTGTTAATCCCCCCGCTCTCCGGCCACCGTAACGTGCAATTTCTCTCTCTAGGCTGTCAACTACAAACGCCTCAAGTATCGTACCAGTAAGCTCGATTAAGAACCCTGATCCTCATCCCCAAGCAACACCCATTAGTGACCCAGCTGCCTTTGTCACCCACTCACCGACCCATTCCCAGCGCAGCACCTGAACCTGCTGTGCACCCAATGCAAACAGTGATTGACCAAACCAACCCATTCCTGATCCCAAGGTCATGGTTAAATTTGCATGCAATGCCATACAGAGACACAAAAGTTGAAGCAATGAAAGGGCTCCAACTTCAATATCAAAAGGGACGATCATTTTCAGTGGAAAGCTGAAAAAAAAGTGACTGACATGCCTCTCTCTCTCTTTAAGAAAAGAACAAAAGCAGTACCCCTTCTATTCTCAGGACCATCAGTCTGATCTGCCTCCACCAGCCACTGGAACCCCTATTTCAAACTCACCAGACGGAAAGACCTCTGAAACCAATGTGAAGGTCTAGGCTCCACCACTCCTGTACAATCGTCCTACCTCTGCCTAAGGTCCTCCCTGAGTTCAACCATGGCGAGCTTGCCCGTTGATCCCTTGCTCAGCAGCTGGGGCCCCGCCCATCCAGCAATAAGAATCTCTCTCCATTTCGTCCAGAACAGCTCTCGTCACCTTCAGAAAAGAAAACCTTCCTCCTGCACTCCCAATCTATACCCCCTCCTCCTGTTCGAAATCCTGACTCTCTTCACTTCAGCACATAACCAGACCTGTGTAAAGCTCCCTACGGTAGTATCTCGCATCCCTGGCAGCGCTACATCACCACACTAGATCAGCAACAACCTCACTCTGTGCCTCAGCCAAGGACAAGACCATCCTTCTGCCACCCCCTGCGACGAAGGATCTCCCCCTTGCATACCTTTTTTTTTTTTTTTTCACCAAATAACATATCATTATCCCCCTTCATTCCTACCAACGGGCCTAGCTCAGTGGGTACACCAATGAATTGTAGAAAGACAGACCCAAATTTCACTACAGATGCCATCAGATGATGAACAGAAGAAATTCATTCTGAATTACCTTGTGCCGGTCAGCTCAATGATCATATCTCAAGGCCGTCAACTTCTGAGGAGAGGGGGGGGGGGGCGGAGGAGATCCCCCTGTACTCCACAACGGCAAATCACCGAAGAACATCCCTACACTCTCTTCCTCGCAGTAACGGTGACCTCTCCCTTCCACCATTCCCATGCCCCCCCTCATCCCCCGTCTCTTGAAGCTATCAGCCAATATGTTTACCAACAATGGCCAGAGAACTTGAGAGAAGCTGCCTTGCACCAATATATTGCCACAAAAAACTGTCTACTGCAAGCGAACATGTGAAACAAATGAAATAAGGAAGAACGGAGAGAAACAAATAGCGGGCAAGAGAAAGCAACAAAAACACGCAACGGTGCAACATAGTAGACAAAAAAAGGAGGTGACAATTACACAGCTATGAAACAGGTCTTCAGAACAGATCATGCAACTTGAAAGGTAACCCATAGTACTTGAGACTGAGATTACTTGAAAGGCAGAAGCTAACCTGAGAGGATGCCGCCAATTATATTCTCAAACTGGTCAGGGAGTCCAATTGTGCTGATAGAGAACTTGGCTGCCGAGTTGAGAGCAGACTCAGAGAGCTTCTGCCTGGCAGATGTGTCCCCTAATTCAGCACCAGCTGTGGCTTTCTCAGAGGCAATGTTCTGCACAGCTGCGAGACAAAGACTATGTGCTCTGGTGACCTTCTTCCATCCCGGCGAAGATTTCCTGCCTGACAAACCAAATCTAGTTCCCATCGCTGCAGGCACGCCCATCCTCTACATGCTGCGTCTGCAAAAGCACCAACCCACAATTCCGAAACAAATAAAATCAATATATAGTCAATACTATAATAGCCAACAAGCCCTTTCATTGCAGTTTCCCTTGCCAAGAAAAAGGGAGTTTGGTGAACAAGTGGGCAACCAAAAAAAGAAAAATATATACATTCAGTGACGGAAGCGCACGGTGCAGTTCTTGCCTTGCGGAGAACTACCATCAGTGGCAAGGTACAATCCGAACCTCGTACCAAGGTATTCGTATCGATCGACAACATTAAAAACATCATTAGCACAAGGAAAAAGAAATAGAAACCTAGTGCTTGAAACGATTTCATGTTGCACAGACACCCCAAGTCCCACTCCCAGAGTCCCAATTGGGCCCAGTCCCAGATGATCCCAGGCCCACTTGGTTTCCAGTAGGTCGAGTCCCAGAGTCAACAGGGTCTCGTAGGGGTCCATAGGTCGAGGCGTTGCAATCCGGTACCATCAAAGTCAAAGCATCGTAGGTCGGTAGAAGTCCACCGGTACCAACAGGGAAAGTCAGTCCCAAAGTCCAATTTTGCAGCAGCATCCCAAGAAACTCTGGGTGAAGGGCAGAGACTCACCTCTGACCCCTACCAATTTTAGGTTTTGCTTTAACTGAAGCTATTGCTTTATTCGCCTTAATGATGGCTTTCTTAATTTTATGGGCGACCGCGACACTACCAAATGAATTGATCCTTTGCACTGTTTCGGGAATGACACAAACATGCAGCAGACAAGCCGCGGCAACCAGTACCGGTCCGAAGCAGGCAACACAAATTAGCAAGTCCATTTATAGCTGCTACAGTGCCAAGGGCAAGACAGTTGTTCATTCGCGAGTTGTGGAAGTGCTGCTGGATGCTTGTGCGACAGTGCAAATTGGGCGGCGTGTGCCAGCGGGAGGAGACAGTGCTGACCATAGCTACGGTAGAGTAGAGGGAGAAGGCAGCCATAGCCATGGAAGTTGAAGACGAAGCGAGCAGGTGCATTCAGGGTAGATCCAAGTAGGCAAGAGTAAGAGAGCGAGAGAGCACAGCAAGGGTTGAGCGTTACAACAATTGAGAGTGATTGGAAAGAGAGAGAGAGAGAGAGAGAGAGAGAGAGAGAGAGAGAGAGAGAGAGAGAGAGAGAGAGAGAGAGAGAGAGAGAGAGAGAGAGTCATATTAGGGGAGAGGGGAGTCTGGTACATACCCGTCAGGTCTTGTTGTGTCACAGCTGAGGCCGCCAGACACTCAAACTCCATTGTATAATATAATAATTGTGTGAAGATCCTTTTGGTGTGCTGATTCGAGTTTCATGTTCGGCTAGTGTGTGAACTCTCGTGTGAATGTTCTGAGCATGCATGTTGGGATTTGGTGTTGAACTGTGGGAGATTCATTGCATGTTCTACAATCCCACAGTAGAATTTGCAGCATGTTGAAATTAATCCAGCAGAACGGGCGTAGCAAATAAAATTGAGAGAAATGGACTTTCCTTCAGATACAACATTCCTTGAACGGATGCACTACCAGATTGGATTGTCATATGAGATGAAAGATCATATAACATTAACTCAACCAGATCCCAGAGAAGGTCCAAGCACATGGATGTAAAATCACTGTAAACAGTAGAATTGTGAATACTACCTTGCTATAGCCCAATGAAGCACCCCAAGCCTACCATAACCTTTGCACCCCCGACAAGCCCGTAAGAATGCGGGATCTCAAAATTTCGCAAAGAGCACCTTAAACCCCACCACTACCTCTGAACCTCCTTTTCCTGTGGTGCATTTGTACTGCGCACCAACTTCAAATAGAACCAGCCAGCACTCTTTTCCTGGTCTTTTTGACTGGCACTGCCAGCCAAAAAGATCGGGGAGGCCGAGCCCCCAAAGAATGAGGTGTTGGACAACTTTGTCACACAAGTTTGTCTGGGAGAGGTAGTGGCGGTTTAAGACTCCCTGGAAAAATCATGTGGGATCCTACCCAGAGCTGTACTCGAGGGAAATTATTGGGTTTTCGGGCCTCGTTGCGCAAATCAGGAGTTTTAGAGGTCTGCAAGTCCCGGCGCCTCCACGGTAAAAACACAGATGTAGCTGATTCAGCACTGTGATGACCCCTGGCCCGTACCACACCAATTGGCGTAACCTTGGTATGGAAGCCCACTTTCCGGCCAATTTCCAGGAATTCTGTAGAGGGGTGCAATTTGAGAGTCGTCTCCGGGAAGCCCACTTTCCGGCCAATTTCCCGGAATTATGTAGAGGGGTGCAATTTGAGAGTCGTCTCCAGGCTTCCAACGCTCAGGAGTGTGATCCAGTCAGGAAAGAGACACGGTGGACAAAGAAGTGGAACGGGTCGTTAAGGTGCTCTTTGCCAACTCCTTTGCCCGACCCCTCTTCTCTTGAAATGGATTTTCTTCCTTTCCCCTACCTCACGGATCAATCAATGGTCGCATACGAACTGGTCGGATCGAGTTGCTTATACCGCGGTACCGGACGCAGCTCTGCCAATCATCCCATTTTTCAGGCACTGTTCCCCCTTCTTTAAAATCCTTCATCCTTGTCCCTTCCCATCCTCGTTCCTCCCGACTACCTGCTCTCAGCTGCAATGCTGTGTGCGGACTGTGGGCTGCATGCCACGGTGTCGAACAGGCTTGTCATGCCCGAAGGACTACGCAGCGTGACAGTGGTGGACGGCTTCCGAGCACTCGGATCGTAAGGTTTCAAAAAAAAAAAAAAAAAAAAAAAAGGCCTGAGGGACGGATCAGGGGGTAGAGGACAGATGGTCAAGCAGCAATGGTGATGAGATCACCTTTCTGTTTTCCTGTGAGTTGGTGTTCCACAGTTGCGTGCTGGTCTTTCGGGCCCTCGATTCTGAGCCATTCTTCACTTCTGCTTTCATCTGAGCGGCGCCCAGGTCGGATTTAACACGTGATGAGTACTGCATTGGTGGGTGTGCACGGTCTTAGTTGTGAGACTGACATCTAGTGTGCATGGCCTCGGTTGCGAGTCTCGGGGACTAAGAAAACTCGACTTGTTTTCAGCTCATTGCAAGTTCAGTTTCAGGAACTACCACTCCGTTCTGGTGGACATCTGTCGCTTGAATGGAATCTTCCTTCTCTGCTCCAAGGTTATGCGCCGGTGCATGCCCGTGCCCATGCAAGAAATTTTCCTCCGTGTGCCACAGTAGCCTTCTGAAGCTGCCGCCACAGATAAAGAGAGAGAGAGACGGCGTGGACATAAGGAACAAGTTGTTGCGAACGGGGCAATGCCACCTCTATAACCACCCTCAAGCTTGTCACTTCATGGGCCATGGCTTGGTTTTGATTGATTGTTTCGTCTCTTCCCCTCGGATTGTCCTTCTGTACTCCGATCTTGCTCTTCTCCTGTGCTCGGCCACACAAGGCACCTGGAACCCCTGTCCAACTGTCATTGGTGCATATGAGGGGAACTGGTGTTTGCATCCGTGCCTGGTACGCAGGCGCTCTGCGCTTCCCAAAGAATAGCGTCACTGCGCACAAGCTACCGGAGAGCACCCGCATGCCAATTAGTGAGCCCCAGCCGCCGACCCATTGGTCTTCGTCCGACTAAGCCCTTCTCGCCCACCTCCCAGACCCCATTTCCCCGCACTCTTGATTTTTTTGGCCGTTGCACCCTTCTCACCCTTTCAGACTCACTAAGGGTCAAGCTTCCCAAAGAATAGCGGCACTGCACACAAGCCACCGGAGAGACCACTCGCATACCAATTAGCGAGCCTTGGTAGCTTCCCGCATTCCAATCAGTGAGCCCCAGCCACTGCACCATTGGTCTTCATCCGACTAATCCGTTCTCGCCCAGCTCCCAGTCCCCATTTCCCCGCACTTTCGAATTTTTTGGCCGTTGGGCCCACCCTTTCAGAATCACTGAGGGTCAACGGGAGCGAGCCTTGGCCCTCTGCCCTTTCGCATTTCTCTACCCTGATTTTTGCCTTGAAGAGTCTGCCTGAACCAGCACGGGAATTTTTTGGTTTTGCCCTGGGGTTTCAACCCCCACCCAAATCCTCAGCCCCACCACCCCATACTGATCGGAATTCCCCCACGAGGGTGCAGAACGCTGCGTGGGGTGGGAGGTTTGCCCTTCACGACATACAATGGGCCTGCAAAAACGTTTTCCAAACCAATGCAGGTTGAAGGAGGTGGAGGAAAAAGAAGGTGTTGGGTGGTTGGCTATGGTGGACGGGTGACCGAGGCGGAGGAGGAGGAAGGTGTTAGGTGGTTGGCTATGGTGGACGGGTGATGGTGGTGGAGGATGAAGAAGCTGCGAGGTGGGCGGCCATGGTGGATGGGTAAAAAGGAGGTGGAGGAGGAAGAAGGTGTGAGGTGGGTGGCCATGGTGGATGGGTGAAGGAGATGGAGGAAGTTCTTATTTTTCTCGAGGGAGCTAATGCGGGTCTACCAAGAATTTTTATTGACGGAGCTAATGCAGGTCTGCCATCCAATATAAACGTTGGCCACACTCGCCCATTTGCTCCTTCACTACTCCGCGAGAACGGAGCGCTGGTAGGGAAGACTACCGTCTTCCCTTGAACACAACGCACCCTTATTTTGGCCGTATCTGACCGAAAATACAGCTTGTATACATTCATTTTTAGGGTGCGTTATGTTCGGGGGAAGACGGTAGCAAAAGAGGTGGAAGGTGGAGCCTGAATCAAACAAGCTCACGGCCAGACCAGGGTTCTTAAACTAATAAGTTCAGAAAAAGTAATGTTGTTGTGGAGCGTAAGCCTTATCCGTATTGGAGTCCCTTACAACATACTTCCATTTATGCGTGTCCTCATCCTTGCGCAGGGGGCCATGCTAATCTTTTTTTTTTTTTTTTTTTTTTTTTTTGGCCCATGCTTATCTTCATTCTCCGTATCGTTCCATTTTTTTTAACGGATGTCCCGAAGGACTTACAACACACTTCTCCTTCATATTNCCCGAAGGACTTACAACACACTTCTCCTTCATATTCTTTTGAATTCTTTCTTTTTCTCC